AGCTGACCAAAATTACATTTAGAAACTTATTGCCTTTAATTTGGAATTTATAATATGATATCTAACTTGTTTAAACAATTCATATACACGTTTGAATATGCCTGAAAAAAAAATCTCTACTGGGACTCGCAAGAAGCTGTGGATGGTGTTTCAGTCTGGGGATGGAGACTGGGATAGGATGGGAAAGAGGACTTTCATTTTTCATTTTATACTCATCTGTACTAAGTGTTTTTTCCTTTACCTTGAAATATATTGTTTGCTTATTTAACAAAAATTAATTTAGAATTATACATTTTTATATATTGTTTTTTCCTTTACTTTGAACATATACTATTTGCTTATATAGTAAAACTAATTTAGAATTATATATTGTGTACTGTATTACACTATATAATTATATATATACATATATATGTATATGTGTGTATATATGTATATGAACATTAAAGCTAGGGGTTGGGTTCCCAGGCTAGGTCCCAAAAACCTGCTCAACTCATGATGTAGCAGGGCAATAGTATGAGTGGACGTGAGACATTAGCCCCCTGTGTAATCTATTTCTATGGGAAACCTGAGTCCCAGAAATATTTTACCCTGAGCCCCAGAAATATTTCCTCCTTGCCGCTTTCTGCCCATGTCCCACTCTCTAATAATTGCTGCCCTAGAAATAGAAGGAAAGACTCCCTCTTCCTGTCTGCAGGGGCTATGGCAGCAGGAGGCTCAGTCTCCTCCCAGGACATTCAAAAGAGGGGACTCCGGCAAGCTCAAGCCCTCTATGTGGGGGAGAAAGCAACATTTACTAAGCACTCACTGGGTGCCAGGCACCGTGCTTGGTCTGTCTCACTCTTCACAAGTTTTGCTTCTCTCGACAATCCAATGAGTTAGTATTATTGTCAGAAAACTGAGGCTCTGAGAGGTTTAGAAACATCCCTGAGATTGCCCCCTAATTATTGACAGCACTGAGATTCCAACCTATAAACTCATGCACTGTCCTTTATAACTCAGTGATCCTCCAGCAGAACCACTTCTTTATAAGAAGCCTATAAAAGTCGAGTACGGATAGGCACTTTGGACACTGCCAGAGGTTCAGTAAGGTCCTCTGTCATGGAACCCCTTGTTAGAAGGTGAGAGACGTGAGGGCAGGAACCTGTTCTGATCACATTTGTATCTGCAGTTCCTAGCACAGTCCTGGAAGCATGGTAAATTCCCCATAAATGTTTGTTTGATTAACAGGAAATATTATTGTTCGATCTGCTCTGCTTCCTAAGATGGAAAATTGGAATCATGTATTTTAGAAAAATTTTCAACAGCAAACACTGAAACAAGAAAAATATTTTCCCATTAACCTTTGGTTGATTAGGAAATTCAAATAACTAAGGTGCTGTAAGGAAAGTTCTTGGCTTACGAGTCATCCATTTATAGGAACAAATTGAAGTAGAGTCCGTTGTATGTTAGAACAGCTTGGCAGTCTCCAGAACCTGGAGGCGGGGGAACATTTACAACACTCTTCCTAAGGGGAAAACCCGCTCCCAGCTCCAGGTAACCAACTTTCAAGCCAACTCTTAGAGCACAAACTAAAAGTTGGAGACAATGTAATATTGCCCTTCAAATATTGTAATTTGAAGCATACTCTGTGGTTAGCGACTCCTTTCAGTAACTCAAAGTTGTTAAAGGAAAGAAAAGAGCCCATTTTTCTCAGCTATAAAGGAGCATGCCATCCAATAATAAATCATATTTACTTGATTTTCACAATGTGACAGTCTCCCTTGTGGGGGCTCTAAGTGTATTTAGTTTATTGTACTCTCACCACAACCTCATGAGTTAGGTCTGATTATTATCTCCATTTTTGCAGAAAACTGAGGCTGGCAGAAATTACTAGTTAATAGTGGAGCTAGTATTAGCACCAAGGTCTAGCTAACCCCAGAGCCCTCTATAGACTGTCTTTCTTGGAACACAAAGGCTAGCTCTCTCTTGATATGAGGGGGAAATGGAGGAGACGGATCCTGCAGACAGTCCATCTGAGCCCATCCACTCATAGGATGAGTAGGTCAAAAGTTGGTCCTATTAGGACCAAGAACTGACCATCAGAGCTGGCAACGGCAAGGCCAGTCTTGACCTTGACAAGAGCTACTTTGGAAGCCTGGTTTTGCCTTTAAGAGCAAAAGGAGGAAGTGGACACAATGAGTGTAGACAATTGTTTTAATGAGTTTTGTTGTAAAGGGCAACTGAGAATTGAGAGTGGTGGTTAAGGAAGGATTTTTTTTTTCAAGATAGGAACATAGTGGCATGTCTTTATACTGATGGTAATGATCTAGGACAGAGGAAAACATTAATTTAGGTAGGCAAGGGGAAAAGCCAGGTGAGAGGGCACACGATCTGTTCCACATGGAGGACTTGGCATTAGATGGAGTACAGGAGGTTCCTCCATAGTAACAGAAGCAGGAGAGTGAGTAATCGAGGCAAATATAGATTGTGGGGCTGCACTAAGGTCCACTTGAGATTGCGGTCACGAATTGAAAATAAGACCAGGCAGCATGATGGTATGCTTCTCCAACCATTTTTTATCTGGGTGCTGGCAGAGAGAAGGTGGAGAATTGGTTTTATCAGGGTTGTGGTTTTTTTAGGTAAGTAGTACAGAGAGAAAGAGAGATGAATTTGAAGGTGTATGTAAAAGAGAAATGATAATAATAAACCTGGAAACTAAGGTAGATAAACGAGGTAGGGAGGTCATGAGGGGAGTAAGGGACTGAGAAAATGTCATGGGATAATTAAATTACAGGTGCTGTTAGGGTCAAGGAGACATTGCATTAGGATAACAGAGAGAATATGCTGGAAAGGTAGGAGTGATAGCTGGAGAGTAGAATGCCTGACATTGAGATTATGAATGGTGTTACTCTGAGAGCAGGAAACTGGAATAGTTGGAGGAGGTCAAGGAAGGGACAGGATGTTGAAGAGTTGGGAGACCAGAGTATGAGAAGAATCCACTATGTGTATTCGGAAATAAGAATTATCACAGGAATGGTACTGAGGAAAGTGACAGTGAACCAGATGCCAATATCTTCAAGGAACGAGGTGGAATAACCCAAGAGTCTGTAGATGGCTGCAATAAGTAGGAGTGGTGGGTGATATGGTCTGTTATTTTTAAGGAGGGCCAGGTTTTGATCAGAGTAAGAAATTGAAAGCAACATTCAGAGAAGAGGCTGAGGATATTGGGGATTTTGTTGGTGTTGAACCATGAATTCTGGAGGGCAAATGGGAGGATTCTAGAGGTGGGAGGGGATGGTGTGATGCATGCAAACATTCACCCAAGCGCATTTACTTGGATTTGGGAGCTCAGATGGTCAGGAGTTGGGGGGAGGATGGGAGGGTGGGTAGAAGATAGAGAGGATAGGCTAGGCAGCTCAAGAATGGCTGCTTCCGTGGGGAAGGACAGCCCCACCCTGCTTCCCTGGCATTCCTCCCTGAGCAGTGATGGCTAAAGTGGCTTCTTTCTGTCCTCCAAGGTAATTTGTAAACCAAAAGCTGACAGTGGAAAACCCAGAGACGGCTGAGTGTTTACAGAATTACAGCACACTGGCACAGCTCCGGGGCCCTCAGGCTCCTGCAGCTGGTGAACTGATCACTTGGAGACTACAGAAGGTTCCCAGGAGGTTGCCCCGGCTGTTGAATCCAGTCTCCGGGGACAAGGAAGGAGAAGGGACAACCATTTCCCATGTTTGCTCCTTCCTTCCTCTGAAATCCTCCCGGCATTGGCATTGGTGCGGCTCTCTCTCTGGAACACATTCCAAAAGCCCAGGGCTCTCCCAGGCAGAGCAGTCAGTCCTGGGGGAAAATACATAATAACGCATCTGCTCAAGTTATTCAGGCCACTGACACAGAGAGAGAGATTCCCACAAACTGACATGAATTACTTTAGGACCTACAGCTCGGCCTCTCCGACCATAACTTCTGTTTCTACATTCTGTATTTGAAACTGCTCAACTCTGCTCTGCTCTCCTCAGTCAGACAGACAGACAGACACACACACACACACACACACACACACGCACACACCATCACAGTGCTATGCAGTCATCCATAAGTTACTTAACTTCTGAGGCTCAGTTTCCCTACCTGTGAAATGGAGACATATCACCTTTCCTCCTTGAACCAGGTGGTCTCTTAAGGGGAGGAAATATTGTTTGGACTGGAGTTAGAATTCAGGTTCAAAAAGAAAGAGTGTGTTGGGGGGCATTTGAAGCTCCTCCTCCCTCGCTGCAAGACATATTCAAGCTTTGAAAATCCTGCATCTCCCCATGAGAAACACAGAACAAACGATTTCCCAAGCATCGGAGTAGGGCAGACGTAATACAAAAAAGCAGGAATCGTTTTAGAATTGGTTATGCTCTAATTTTTAATAAGCGGTCAAAGAGGGTGGAGTGGGGGAAGGGAGGACACCCTCCAACGGAGAGTTGGGAGGCAGCGCGCGCGCTGCTGCAGAGCGTGACGGCCGCGGTCGCCTAGCAACGGGAGGCGGGGATGCGCGCCCGGCGCCTCGCTGGATGGGCGCGGGTGCTCGCCGCCGCCGCTGCTGCCACGCGCTTTTGGGCTTCCAGGACCTGCTGGGAAACTTTGGGGCTTCTCGGTGCTGGAGGGTCGGTGCCAGGCCCGGCGGAGGCAGCGATGCTCCCCGAGGGCTGAGGGCAGAGGATGAGGTCGCGGCCAGGCACGCCAGGCACTGGGAGCCGTGGGGTCGCACCCGCGGAAAGTTGGCGCGCACCTGCTCGCGCCTGGAAGATGTTCGGTCTCTGGGCCGAATTGCTCCCCAACTGTCTTTGGCAATTTCTTAGCCCCGGGGCATCGGGCGTCCCGAACCCTGCGTGGCCCCGGGTTCCCGGATTCTGATCGCTGGGAGAGAGGAACCCGCGCTTTTGTAAGGGATCTGCGCGGTAACTGATGCTTAATCGATTCGTCCTGAATGGTTGCGACTCTATTTTTGTTTTCTGCTTTTCTTCTTCTTCCAGACAGTGAGTTTGTGGAAGCCTCTCCCGCGCCCTACAGCTCAGAGGAGTTAGGTAAGTCTGCCCCTTTTGCCTTTTCTTCTCGGAATTCCTCCTGAGAACCGCGAGTTTGGGGGGCGCCGAGACGAAATCAGCCGGAGAGACCGAAGGAAAGGGCCAGGGGACACTTCCTAGGCTGCACCTTCTCTTCGCGGCGAGAACTGGCCTTTTCTCAGCGCGTGCGCTTTGAGGTGGCGAGGAAAGTGTCAGATGTGTGTGTGTGAGGGGGCGGTATGTGTGTGGCCAGGTCAGTGGTGCTGCTCCGAGGAGCGCAGCACAGCAAACTTCCCGACCTGGGGTCTCTGTAAGCATTCACACTCACATCCTGCCTGGAAGGACGCGGCGGTGGCTGGTTCTGCTTTGCCATGTACCTTGCACGAGAAGGACATCGTGTGGGTAGTCCTTAACCTGAATTTAATGAAGTCGAGAAGCAAAAACGGCGGTCTAGCAATTAAATTCCAGGATCTGGGAGCTGTGTCCCTGCCTGGTTTCTATTCCTCATTCAGCCTGTAGGTGTCTGGCAATAGGGCATTTCATCCTCCTGTGCCTGTCGTTTTAAGTGGAGATTTGTGGTGGGTGAACCTCCGCACTCTTGTCAGAGACGGACTTCCTTGTGTGAAGAGAAAGAAATTTGCCTTGTCAGGATCCCTCCAAGTATTTCTGCCACCCAGTTCCGCTTGGTGGCTTAGTGCTTGGTTTCTTTTTTTCTTCTTCTTTTTTCTCATTCTCCGGTTTAGTTTAGCTGCTAACAATCTGGGCTGTCAAGTCTGTCCTTGCTGTTCTCCTATCACCAGCTTGACAATCTTGCCTTCCTACCATGAAATGACAGCTGTTTAAAAATGTTTATCCATAGTAACATTCTCAGCCTTGGGTGCCTTTTTTCTGGTCAGCCTCTCTGTCCTGGGATGTATGTCCTCATCAAGTCCCACCCCACCTGAAGTAACATATCCCCTCAGCAACGACTTTCATCCATTGCTAGGCACTCAGAATAGGTCTAGATCAAGGACGGCATTCTGAGGCAGGGAAAAGTACCTTGTTTTATTCAGAAGATGTGTTTCTGACAAGTTGTGAGGCGTTCATATCTCTGTAAATGGAATCATAAATTAAATGCATGAGCAAAACTAGCTTTTAAAGGCACACTATGGTGAATCCTTTTAGGAAATGAAAATGACATCTAAACCATAGCTTTGGGTGAAGTGGTTTATTAAGAGGCCTGATTCTTGGTGATCTGCTCCACATGTGTATAATTGTGTATTAATGACACCAGCCTTGGAAGCCCACAGTGTGACAGAAGCTGTTTGGTCCTCTTAAATTATAGATAAGCATAAGCAGCGGCAGGACGAGCATTCCTTGCTCTGAGAAACCACCTGTATAACTACTAAATTGTTTGCATTCACAGAATGATTTATGTGCCAGAAAGGCCCAGGTGTTTGACCCTCTTTCATTTCCGTCTCTACCTCCGGGACTAACAGACTGGACTGCCCAGCTGAGGCACTGATAAATGGGGGGAGCCCTTAAATTAGTGGTAGAGAATAAGAAAACAACCTTCTTTCTCTTCAGCTCCCCTGTGGTAAAAGCCCAGTTTCTCATGAGGAGACGAGAGTAATAGGAACCATGGGGTTCCTTCCTGGGCTCTGGGATTGTAGGATGATTGAGAATATAAAACACAAGTCTGAGAGTCTGAGACCAGAGTTCTCACTGCTTTAGCGTCCTTAGTAAATATGTTAACTAGCCTGTTTTCTCATCTTTGAAAAGCTGGGGTTGTGCCAGGTGACCTCTAAAGTGTCATCCAGTTCTAGCCTCCTGAGATACTGTGAGGGGCCATAAGCCAAAGGAAGCCCATAGCTAGTGGGTACTTATCATTTACATTCATGGCCATGGTGTCTGGGGGCATGGTGTCTCCAAAGGGTTATTCTCTTCCTGACAGGGCAGCTCACTGGATGTGACTGCGTTGTTTCCATGCTATTCAGGTCAGGTTAAAGAGGAAAATGGCATTTCTCCCTTGGAAAGTGTCATGATAGTTTTAGGTGCTTTTCTTAGACACACAAGAGGGAAAAATGCCTTTTTCAGCAGGTAATGAGCTTGTCAAGCACCCATTCTTTGTGGAGCAGGGATGAGAGATTCACCCCCTGGCCAGAATATAAGGGACCTGGAGAAGAGGGAGAGGAAGAGGAAAGTCATAAAAACTTAGTTTGAATTGTATCGCTTCACCAGTTTGTGACCTTGGGCAGGAGACTAAACTGCTCTGAGCCTCAGTCATCGGGTCAACCAACCCAGTTGGAGACCTTGCATGGATGTCGTAAATGGTGTATGTAAAGTCCTAGCACCGTGTGTCGTATGTGTGGGTATTCAGGAAGTGTTTGTTGCTGTTGTTTTATTATTCTTCTTCATTTGAAAGACACGAATCTCCCATGCATGAAGGACGGAATAGCTCTTATCAGTTGTCCCACCTAGTACCCCAAACCATTTTTATTTCTAGAAATTTCTCTGCAACTTACCTAGTCTCCAGAAACAGATGCTCAGGAATGGTGATCAGATCTATTTAATTATGTAGTGATTTGTCCATGGAGCAGCATGTGGAATTGTTTTCCATCTCAGGTCTTTGGTGACAATCCCACTACTTTGTTGTGGCATGATTGGTAGTCTATTTCACCTCCAAATGTTCTTATCTGTCTCCAAATGAACTAAAACTAGCTCCTTGGGGGACTTATTCTCAGTGCTGCAGCAAGATCATATAATGAAATTAAGTTACCAGAAGAGGGATTTATGAAAAGGCAGTAGGAAAAGGAGTGTATCTCTAGATGATGCTGTATTGAAGGCTGCCAAGATGGAGAGTACAGAAATATGTCCTCTCTCCTCTGGTGGTACCATTTTCTAAGGAGGCAAAGCCCACACCCCTCCATAGCCTTTCTGTAGTCTCATCCATAGGTAGAATGATGGCCATCTGAGGGGGTGAGAAAGAATGCTTAGAGAGCTGGGGTGAACCCAGATGTGGACATGTCTGCCCGTCTCTAATAACCTTTGTAGACGCCCCACTACCTGGAGGAGGATAGATATTTGGTTTGGCATAGGAGGACCACCATGATCTGCGTCACCCCTACCCCCATAACGTTCTAGTTATATTGAACTAGTGAGGAATCCTCTAGATTCAGCTCTGTTCCCTTTGCCTGCATGCCCTTCCTCCCCCATCTCCCTTCCTCCCCTGGCTGGCTCCTACCCATCCTTTAACCCTAAGCCCATGTGTCATGTCCTTCTAGTGGTTCTCAACCCTGCACATTGGAATCAGGGGAGCTGTTAAACGTCCTGAGACCAGGTCCTAACCCTGACCAATTATATCAGAATCCCTGGAGTGTGGACCCAAGCATCAGTGTGTGTGTTTTTTTAACTCATATCTCAAGTGATTTCAATGTGTAGCCAAGGTTGTGAGCTACTGCACTAGATTGTGGCCACCTCATTCTTCTGTGTCGGTCTAGCAGCCAGCACAGTGCCTGGCACACGTAAATCTTCAGTTAATGCTTGTTGCACAGGTGAGTGAGGGAGTCACCCCTCAGATGCTTTGTCTTTTCGTAGTTATGTATCTCTAAGATTGGCCCCTCTGCTGGTAGTAACAGTGCTTTAGGGACTCAATCCTTTGACCTGTGACCTATATTTCTCTCCTTTTTTCATTCCTTAGGCTTATCTACTTTATTTTCTATCTTTCTTAAAAATTGAAGTTTTAAAACCATTTTTTTAGTATAATAGTAATACATGCTTATTTTAGAAAATTTGAACATTAGAAAGAATGAGGGTGGGGGGAGTCCACTCTCACCATCCGAAAGCAGACTGGTCCCTTGTTTCCTTAACTTTTCCTCATTGCCTGCCTTTGGGGTTGCTGGACCCTCTGGCATGCCTCAGTGAGCTCAATTGCTGTTCTTTGTGCTCAGACCCTGTGAACTTCCCTCTGGGGGTCAGAAAGGAGTGCTCATGAGAATAGCATTCTTGGGAGCCACCAGGGCTAACTCCCCCGAGGGCCTGCGTACCATGAGAAAGGGTTATCTTGTGCTATTCTTGCCTTCCTCATTCAAGCAGGATGTATGGGCTTTATTAGAATAAATAACATTTGTGTTACTTCTTTAAAATAGTAACTAAAATGTTTGCCAGCCGTCCTAAAATATGAAACATGATTTCAGTGCTGGATAATAGTCTTTACATCTGTCAGAGTGCAGCAGCTTGTAAGTATAGACTTAATCAGGATAGGCTGACTGCTGTAACAAACAAACCCAAATGTCAGTGGCTTAACACCAGGAAGCCAGTGTTTCTCGCTTTGTTGTATTCTGGTGTTGGGTTGTCAGAGGGCTGTCCTCCATGTGGTCATTGAGAGCCCCAGGCTTCCTCCATGCCCTGGCTCCACCAGCTTCTAGACCGTCAGCTTCCTTCACTGGACCCTCTGCATCCATTTGGCAGATAAGTGAATAAAGTGAGCAAGAAAAAGGTATGCTTACTCTTGATTTTCTCAGCCTGGAGGTGACATACTCACGACCCTTCATATTCCAAAGGTGAGAACTAGTCCCATAGCCTCGCCCCGATGGAAGGAGGCTGGGAAATGTAGTCTAGTAGGATGCCAGCAAGAAGAGGAGAACACGTCCATTGGTGATCACTTCCAGTCTTATCAGTCATATTTCCCTTATTGCTCAAACCACAATGACTGAGCCACATCCTGGCCATGTAGGTGCTTGGTCTCTGTAATATTTAGGATACTAGTTTGGCTCCTATAACAGAGGCTAAAATGACGGTAACTTAAACAAGAAACAAGTTAGTTTCTCTTTCGCTTAGAGCATAAGCAGTCCGGTGTTGCTGTGGTAGTTTCAGGTGCTCTGATGTCCTCAAAGGTAGCTTCCACGCAGTAGTCTAAGATGGCTGCTTCAGATCCCACCCTCACATCCACATTCCACTCTATAGGAAAGAGAGAAGGAAAGTGGAGAGGGCTCAGCCTGAAACCTGTGCACATCATTTCATTTACATTCCTTTGGCCTGAA